TATATATATATATATATATACTTTTGGTTACTTATGTTTTACAAGCATACTATTTTATTTCGCTTCAGTGATCATTTTTTGCCGTGTGTTTTACATTTCTTAGAGATGAACGATTGACGATTTATATACAAAATTTAACATAGGGCGAAATGGCGGCGCAGTATATCCTGGAGCATAGTTCGCACATGACCCCCGACCCAGATGGCTTCAAATGTTCAATTAAAAATATTGTCAAGTCTCACTTTAGCAATCCACTTAACGTTAGTAACAGGTATTCTCTTTGAAGTTCAAGAGATCGCTGAAGCGGCGTATCGTTTTTGGCGATCTCTATTTCTAGAATAATCGTTCAATTGTAAGAGATTTCTTAACTTTTTAACTTTGACCATGTTAATTTCATCGCTTTTTTCAGAATCAATCTTTCGTTTTTGTTTTTAATACGACCGTGCGCGTAAACATTGTGTGAGATACCGTCGGCATTTAAAGGGAACCTATAAAATCATTCTAGTTTACTATCAATTACATAGCTTAAGGGAATTCTAGTAGTCGGTCCACTTTACCATAAACTCCATAGCCATTCGGCATTAATTGTATCCTTCAAATCGGATTTACGGACTAAAAAATCGTTTTTGCTTTTTGAAATTAAAGTACACACAAAAAAAAACACTGGAATTCTGAAGCACTGGATTTCACAAGAAAGTACAGAAAATTAACAAATTCACTTACTTTTGGCTTATACAGCTACAGCTGTTACTTGAGATTAATATTTATTTGCTATAAGAATTTTATAGTTCATATATTTAAAATAAGCGATGACCATTACTTATAGGAGCGAAATTGAAACGTACGAAATTGATTTACTCACAAAGGAACGAAATATTTATTTACGAGAATACATAACTTATTACTGCGAAATAAATATTTATTTGTATCGAAGAAATTCGTTTCAAGAAAATGCATTTTCTTGTTTCTCTCTCCCCAACTCTCATGTTTTTCACTTCTTCTCGCACGAGATATTATATTATGTTCAGTGATTTTATTTTTACATTTTTAATTAATTTAGCAGTTAAACCTTTTAATGATACTTGCGCAATTTAACTAATGTTTTTAATAATGTAAATCAAGTAGTTGAATGCGGAGATATGAAGACGGAAGTGATGGTTCGCGGTTCTGTAAAAATTTGATAATGAGTATAATCTATTGATTTCTTCATTTAAAATGTATGAAAGGGAGATTGTGGCGTCTCCCGATCTGAGTTTTAAGACTTTCGTCCATCCATATGCAATATTTTCATTTTCCTTTTGAGAGACAGTTAAATAAGAAAAGGGTAGAATCTCTGTTCAATAATCATCATAGTTTTAAAAATTTCATTACTTTTTATACCATAATAAATGAACTTCGTTTGATTCTCGTAACTTTCTTTGGTTCGTGACAAAGATCAGTGAAAGAAAAGAATCGTAGAGTCTCCCGAACGTAACAGTATTGTCAATATTATTCATTTATTTTTATTGGGGTATCTATAATATAATTTATACTTTATACATGTGTATTATGATTTTCATATGCGTTTTAATTTTATTGTTAAATATTAATTAGATATTCATGCATTACAATATTAATTTTGATTATGTTTTTTTGGTTCTTTTTTTTCGTGCGCTGTCCCGGGTATATGCAGGTAAACGTAAGTACCGTTGTGTCGGAATTGTTCTCCGCGATGATTCATTACCGAGTTAAGCAAGACGGATCCTTCAGCAGTGTAATTCTTAGTATGCTGGTGATCGAGGGCCTCGGCCGATGCCTGGATCCTGAAGTCGATATTTTCACGGAAATCCTGCCCTATGTCCTCAGCAGCGTTATATACAACAAGTGAAGATGAGACTTTAAACAAAAATTAATTATATATTCGAAATAATTAATGGAGTATTATTTTATTTGTACCTTTCTCATACAATAAACAATTTAAGTAAAAGATACAGGACTCTCGAAAAAATTATTAATTTGGTAATCTGAGAATTCATCTCATTGCCGATTTTCTTGGTAGGATGTTCATATGATTTTTTTTAAGCTCGAAGTTGAGTTAAAACGTATGAATTATGAATAAACGATGGAATTATTAAGTAACTACTTGTGTATATATATATATATATATGTATAAATAAACTTGTATGTATATATAAACTCTGTACGTGAAAAATGCTTTAAATATTTATTAAGATTTATATTCAATCAAAAATATATTTTTTTTTATTTTAATCACAATAAGCGACACTTTTTTTATAGTGTGTACTGTTGAGAAGACATTTGCCCAAGAGTCCGCATTTTAATTTTTTTACTAAAATTAATCTCCTATAAAACTAAGTGTTTGTATCAAATTGATACTTGACAAACTTTTAGTTCAAACTCTAAGGAATAGCTTAAGCAGCATTTTACTGTTCAAACTCGGGTTCTTGTATTAATTATACAGCATAAAAGAAAAAGTGCGTACTCTTGGCCATCTTATTCTAATCGTAAGTTTATAACATTTCATGGTTCTTTTTTACATCAAAGAAATTACATTGTCATATAATGTGTTAATTTATTTGTCGGACATATATTCTATAATAATACATTTATCTTTGTAATAGAAAGTATATATATGGTGTGTGTGTGTGTGTGTGTGTGTGCGTGTGTGTGCGCGCGCGCGCGCGCGCGTATGTGTGTATACACATATATAAGTACATGTTACACATTTATTAATCAAGTATGTTTCATTTACTTCATATAAATATGTTCTCTACTAAAAGGAAAACTCCCTTAATGATCATGACATTTTCCTTGGTTATATGTATGAGTGTCGCGCGCGATAAAGATAGAGAGATTTGATTATTTTATTCTTATCCGAGTACGCATTGTTCGGTGCGGTAATGGCGTATACCTATAAATGATAGTAGTCTTATTTATTTTGGTTTAATAACTATGAGACTGTAGTAAGCGAGAATAACAATATTTTTGTTTAATCTTTCGAGGTCTATCTTACGATAACATTATCAACAATCTCGAGCTGTCTGTCGAAATCTGTTCTTAGTTTAGTATCAACATTAAACTCTATTCAGCTGATCTTCATAACGCTAATGGTTTAGTAATCCTAACACAATTGTTAAATATATCTAGATAATCCTTCTCGATTTTAAATTCTCAGCGATGGATGCAATTCTTTTCTTTATCAATGAGTTATCCTTTGACCATAACTTTGATGTTTTTCGGCAAGTTTGTTGTAGAACCTTTGTTGACACTGGCGGCCGTAGGCCTCATAAAACTATGACCCTTTAAGCCGATTCGTGGCTGCATTAATCTGCTCTTCGTTGCGTATGTCTTATCACCGGAAGGCAGTCGATTTCCTAAGATTGATTGCTGACCTACGCTGCTTCCACTGCTGTTACGCGAGGTGATCGGCCGGCCCCTTGTGACTTTTGGCATGCCAGGCACCACCTACCGATTAACAATAAAAATCGAAAATCTCGAATAAAATATTTTAAACTAACTGTTTTATTAACAATGATCATATTCGGTCGTCGCGCCAGCATCTTTTTAAGATCTTATAGGGCGCGTTCACACCTTGACGGAAAAGCAGCAGCTAATCAGAATTCGTGCTGGTAGTAAGTAGTACCGAAAACCGAAATGTCGACTACTAGCGGGACTTTTGATTAACTGCTGCTTTTCCGCTTTCTGCTTTTCCGTTAAGGTGTGAATGCACCCTTAGGCCTGTTCTTTTTGGCTGAACTTTTGCACCAGTTCATCTTTCTTCCTCTTCTTTCCTCCTGGAGAGGAAAGGAAGAAAGATGAACCGATGCAAAAGTTCAACTAAAAAGAACAGGCTTCTTGTATCTTTTAGATTTGAATGTACAATACAAAATTCTCTTTTTAGAAAGATATTTGAATTATATCAACCTCAGATTCTTTTTGGACGTTCTTTATTGCCGGTCCGATGTTGCTGCTGCTGTTGTTGCTTCTACTGGCGGGTATCTTGCTGGTGCTCATCTGACGAAGACTTGATCGTCTCTTATCGACCGCGTCCTTCGACGGCAACGATCTGCTCAACGGACTGTTCTTCCTCAGATCATTAGTCAACGCTCGAATAGCCGAAGTATAGTTCTGCAAATGCACGTGATTCGCGGCCAAATTCCTCACCGTATTCACGGATGTTGCGCTGTTTAGCGAGCTCCGCGAACTGCGCAGGCTACTTCTCGAACTGGAACGTTGCACTTCACCTTTTGAAACTCCTGTATCGTTCAACGGTACCACATTCTTTTGGGTTCTTTTCAGAGACTCGATTTTTCTCAAGGCAGAGGATTCGTGCTTCGCACTTGCGGTGCGTTTTGGCAAGAAGTTGGATTTTTCCGATGCGTTCCTCGCGATCGTTTTCTCGTTGAACGTCTTACTGGAAGCCGGCATCAGCAATTTGTCGATGGATGATTTCCGGCCGTCTAGATTGTCGTCGTCCACCACCGTGATAACGCTACGTCGACGATTTTCGCTGCCATAGCCGCCCAGTTCAGCTGGTGAGCATCGCATCAAGTCATGCGTGTCCGTCTCGTAATTGCCGGAAGACGTCTCCTGGCTTAACGTTTCCGACACGAGGCTTTGCGTCTCTTCAAAGCCTTCATCATTTAACTCCTGATCCCTGCTTTTACCAGACAACGGCGATGTTGTCACACTCACATCAGGGACGAATCGGTTGCGGAATACAGAGTTCTGTCGAACCGCGGTCTGATCGCACGGATCGTCCACAGTCCGGACATTCTCGAATTCTCTCGTGCCTCCAGTGGACTTCAGATCCGCACACTTCTCTTCTTCTACGATCTCAAGCATATCGTCCTTTCGATCGCGCAACGAGTTTCCGTTTCGCGAAAAATCATTGATGATTTCCTGATTTTGATTCACTTGACTAGGTGGATTGCTGGACAAACGAACCGCTTCCTTCACCTGACTTGGATCGATCATGCTCCGATGACGTTCGCGGCTTGTCACTGCTCGCTCGGTAATCACTGTGACAGGCTCGCGCGATCGCGATTCTTGCATTACCGGACTCAACACGGTGTTAGTCACCGCTAACACTGGCAGTGGTTGACTGACAGGAAGTCGCGAATTTCTGTGACCCATTGTCGATGTTGCTGTCGTCGGCACTGAATGCGATAGACACTGAAGATCCTCGTCAGAACGCGCGATCTCCATTAAAGCCGTATCGCGTCGCTTCAATTTATCTTGCCAGATACGCAACATGGCGTCTGCGTCCTCGTGGAGAATCTCTTCATCTGCCCGGGCGAGGGTATTAGGTTGCTGCACCGTCGATTTCTCGTCGTAAACCATTTCGAGACTCGACACATTTGATTTATCTTTGTTTCCCGTGAGATCTAGGGTCTTCCTGTATCTGCGAGTTCGTCGCGTCGCCGAATATCTATCGAAGTTGCCTAAGAACCGAAATATATTATTTTATCAATTGAAATTAATTTATTCTGAATCTAATTTTTTCTGCTTTATTTATTTATTCTGAACTTTTGAAATTGCGAAATATATGCGTATATTAAGGAGATTTCAAAGACGTCTGATTAAATATTTTGTATATCACGTAATGGCTTTGAAAATTATCAATTTTTGTAAACATGTGTGCGTGCTTCTTCATTCAAAATTCTCTCTCTCTCTCTCTCTCTCCCCCATTCTTCTTCTCCTTCCACTTTTATTAAAATAATTAAGTATTTTCTTGCCGTTATTGCAGAAGATGAGCATCATTGACTTTAAGTCCGCAAACACAATAGAGTAGTAAGCTTTAAGTCTTAAGGAATTAACTAATCATAGTCGATTATTCTTCTCACATTCAACTGTGATTGATCAATTTCTTAAGGCTTAAGACTTACTACTCTATTGTGTTTGCGGACTTATGCAGTAAAACAAGCGATCGTAAAACTCTCTCTTTACATTTTGAAATGTCTGAGAAGGAATATCTCTGCAAGCTACAATTATCCTATTTTGGAGTTTCTCGACTGTGTCTCGAAATATTCTGAAAATTACTGGATAATTATCGTTTAAATAACTGAGTACGTCACGATGGTACGTAGTCTGCAAGACATCCATCTTATAGAAAATGAATGTTATATGTATATCGAATTCCAATTAGCTATTCCTCATCAACAGCATTTTTAACACGCACGCACGCACGCACGCACGCACGCACGCACAACTTGGGTTATTAATAAAGGATCATATCTCGCAGTTTTTTATTTAATTGGATTGAATCGGATTCATCTAGATTCAATTAGATTTGAAAAACTGCATCTCTTATTCAAAATTTCAAATTGAGCGATATTCACAAATGCATAGAAAAAGCTCATATCATTTTCAATTTAAAGACATAGAAACTTCATGCAATTCTTATAAATGAATAAAAATGCATTTAGATTGAATGATTCATTTTAACATTTTCGAATACGTATTTCTGAAAATTTGAATCCATTTCAATCCATTTTAATTCATTCTTGTTTACTGGATCTTCGTTATCGTCAAAAAAGAAAAGTGATGATATTTGTGCAAATAATATAGGAATTAAATCCTTATTCTCTATTTTACCGCGCTTACTTAAAAAGAGCAAAAGAGACGACTTTCTTTGACGTCACATGAGCGCGCTTACAGCGCATAAGAGACGATTTAAAAAATGCTTTATATACTTTATAGCGTTAAGCGCTTACAACGTGATAGCATGCAAAAGAAACGCATACTATGTTACGTGTCGTGAACTATATCCTGAATACGCACTATCATTATAAGTGCATTCTGAATACAGGCCTCTGTTTATATATCTTTCTTTTGTTCGTTTCTGATTTGTATTTACCGGTACCGAGATCCGTGCCAATCCACTTCGATATCGCAGTCTTTGTTTCTCGACCCTGGAGGGAGCTGCTGCAACGTTCTCTCTTGCAGGGTTCCTTTTCCACGGGTTTTACATCCTTCGAAGGACTGAACAAGCGTCTAATTGCCGGTGGCGTCTCAATATTATCAGAATCAATCTCAATCTTATCGTTGACTCGTTCCTTATCCGCGGATTTTTTACCAAGCTTGAAAAATCGCCGGGTTGCAGGCGTTTGCGTTCCTGTGTATGGTTGCCGAAGATAGATCGTCAATTCGTCTTGGATATCTAAATTTATTACGTCACTGATCTTACTCTTCTTCCTGTCTTCTTCTCTAATTGCCTGTGAATGTAATGTGAAATAATTAATTTCACTTAATTTTCTAATTTTTTGAAAGTTTAATACCTATTGAAAAACTTTTGATTATTTTTTGTCAAATTTAGAAAAATTGTATTATCATTCTCTTGCTTATGAATTATTATACACTAAATTGATAAAAAATATAAATTTAATGACAAGTTTAATTGATAAGTTAATAAGTAAGATTGATAATAATAGTAACATTAGTAACGAAAGATTTTATAGTTTTCGAATTTTAAAGAATTGAATAATACAAATGGAAGAAAAAAAAACACATTATTATGTAACTTTTCAAATTATATAATTTTAAAAAATCACGTACTAAACAATTCGTTATGATTTACTTGTTTTAACTGTATGATTTCATTATGTAACTTTGTGATGTGATTTTTTTCAGCAGTAGAGTTCACATAATTTGCAGCCGTTTCAGATATCTTATGTATGTAGGGCGTTACAAAATATCTCTTACGATCGGAATCGTCATGAGTTAACATATTATGTTGTCATTATTTTTACAATTGTGCTGCTCCAATTTTTCGTCAAAGAATTTTTTTTAATCTAAAATATTTTCTTAAAAATCAGTTGTAAGGAATAATTATGCAGTCTTCATGAGCAATTTAATATACTAATTCAAATTATTCGTCGTGAAAAACTAGTATTAATTACAAATGATTTTTAAGTTTATTCAATAAAGTAGTTTTAATTTGTGATCAATTGTTTACCCTAAAGTAACCTTTTTTACTGTTTGCGTAGCAAAATGGATCTAGATATTTAAAATTAAGATTGATAAATTGGCAAGTAGAATTGACAAGTATAATAGATTCTATTTACATTTACCTGTAGAGTGCTCGGCACGAGTGCATTTTCCATATTGGGTCTTGATCTATTTTTACAAGAATAACGTGGATCAGTCTCTTCCGTACTACTTGATAAGTTCAAGCTCGACTTTCGCCAGGGAGACTTATCCTGGGACGATATTTGAACTTCTGGAATGAAGATATTTGCTTATATTTATCAATTGTGTCAATTGTCATGAATTTCCTCAGAAAAATTTTCTTAAGCAATACAAAATAAATAATGAAGATAATGGAAGACAACACAGGAATCAATGCGTAAATTGTAATGAAAATATTCATTCAAAGACATGAAAATTAAGTCACAACATTTTGTTTAACATAACACATACATTTCGGTTCTATTTATAAATGTTTCACGAGTCGTATAGTCACAGAAAGGTTACAACACTTTTTTTCGATGGATTTCGAAATACAGCTTGCTTACCGAACGTTCTTACTTATGGATTTAATCATTTATGTTCAACCACTCTACGAGTAAAGCTGAATTCCGACATCCATCGAAAAAAAATGTTGCAACCTCTCTGTGACCAACTGTACATCCCATCTCTCCCCCCTCCTAAGAGTAGCCGTATATTCCATCTCTATGCGACATACAGCAAAAATGCAAGAATTTCGAAAAGTTCTTTTTTTAACACGAAAAATAAGTATTTTGGATTTCTAATATTTTTTTCATAGTAATAGACAGTACAAAATTTTTACTAGTTTATTTACCGTATTTGAACATAGTAAATAATACTTAATAAGGTTCTTGTTAGGTGCGGCGTATATACCGAAGTTACTTTACAATTTTTCAGAATTTCTATATAAATTTTGAAATATTTTTTTATAATTTCTATATAATTTTATAACCTTTTAAATTTCTCGTACTTTTTATACGAATTGAAGCATGTTTACTCCGATTTATCAGGATTATCATTTTTCTTTATTTACAATTATTGTATTATATTTATCATTTATCAATAATAATATTATAAAATTATAATAAATTTTTAATTTGCAGTCACCTTCAATTGCTTCCATTGTGCGCATCACGTCTGTTTTTTCGACGGATGGTCGCCAGTCGTACACTTTGGAAGAACTTCTTTCTTCGAGCATTATTTGATCTTCCCCTGAAGTGTTCATTAGGAAGCTCTTGCCTTCGCTTTCTGTAATCGCATACGTCGAATGTTAAAAATCTTGGCATTAAAAAAGTTATTTCGATATTTACGAAAAATAAACTTGTTCACCCGAGTCTTCAAAGGACCGTCGGTTTGCTTGATGCAATTGTTTCGTTCTTCTCTGAAGTTGTTCGCCCGCACGATCCTCTTTCTCATTCTCCGACAGCCATTCCTCGATTTTTTGTCGCCAAGCTTTCCTGATTTCCATAAAAGATAAATTAATTGAATTTTACAAAAAGTTTATTTTCTATTAAATTTTTATTTTTTTGATAATTATCCAAAAGACGCTCTTCACCTTCAATTTCAATGAAATTATGCTCATGCGCATTTTTGCATGAAACGAAAGAATCTGGCATGAAACGAAAAAATCTTGTACTCAGTCTCTCGAAGCGAGATATATTAATCGATCGTTAAAGTTTCTTTTCTGAGTTGTTAAAGTTAACTATTGTTAAGTTAGGAAATCTGTCATATTGATGCCATAAAGGAAGTTATATAAATTTGTTTTATAAACACAAATTGGTATTTGGTACGGTTAATAAAAGTAAAAAATGGAAGACCTTTGCGCTACTTTGGTATATCTAGGGATGTGGTCGAGTTGCCATTATGAATGTTTCGAAGCATTTGATTAACCAATCGGAAGAAAGAATTTTACCAATTGACCAATCAAAAAATGCTTCGAAGCGTTCGTAGCGGCAATTCAACCGCACCTTAAGGGTGTGATCCACTTAACGCTGCAAATGCTTCGTTAACCAATCAGGAGAAAGAATTTTACGAATTGACCAATCAAAGAATACTTGAAAACATTTGCAACGTGAAGTAGATCGGATCCTAGAGTTGCGTCTCGCGCCGCGCATACCGCGAGTCACAAACGTCGTGACTCGAACGGCGCGCTTGCCAGACAATCCCCGCAATCTCCCAATAGTCCGCGCGTCGAGCGAATGGTGGGCATACTACTTGGCACTCTTGGCAGTATTAGGCCGAGTGGACGCGCTTATTCCGCTATCTTTAAAAATTAATATCTCGTTAAATATTGTGAAAATTGCAAAATGGTAGAGGACTTTTCGGTTCAGTTTAATACTGGGACACTCTGTAAAAGTATAACTGCTGTGTAATCTGTTGGTAGTAATCATTACACGTACTATAAAACCCCTAGTAATAACCAGCGGTGTAATATCTATCGTGTGATTCGCCAGTAATAATTATTACACGAACAGTATTATCCTCAATAATAACCATACACTCGACAGTCTGCCTTTTCAATAAAGGTACCATTTTTTTCTTTTATTCTTCCGTAGATTTCCCTTTTATTACGAATATGTGATCATTCAGATGCAAGAGCGCAATTCAAAGGCTGTTGAAATGATACAAATTACACCGCCGTCAACTTACCCACTTGGCTTCGCTTCCTCCTCTTGCAAGAATGGTTTGCTTTCCGCAAGAGGAGCCGGTGAGCTCGGTCGTTCCCGATCTCCTGAAAAATCGGCGTTTAGCAGGTCCCCTCTTCGCGATTGCCCTCGAGCTCTTCGCGCCCACGATCGATCTTTAATATTTTTCAAAGGAAATTTAGTTCCGTTTTACAATAACAGCTGTAGCGTTGGCATATTAAATACTATTAAATACCTAAACTCCCCCATGATTTTCTCTCTCGCGTATTATCCTGTCCAGACGTTCGTAAGAAATCCATCAGATTTCCGTCATCATCCTCGCAGGGTATTCTACTTCTGCGCCGACGAAGCGTGCCATTAGGCGTAATATCTGTCAAATAAAATATTATGATAATATATCGCGATTACAATTTTATTATTAGTTGCAAACAACTCAGTAATAGGGTAAATATTGACAATAGGGACTCAGCTTCAATAACCTTGACCCTTACATATATGTATATTATTAAGGACACTCCTGAATACTATTCCAAAGATATCAGTCGCTTGTTCTCTATTAAAATGTTATTAACAAAAAAGTTGACAATATAAACGTTTTTAATATCTTATAGGATCGTACATGATGTCATAAACTATAGAAATCAATGTCTTAAACGGTCTAGTTAGATCTTAAATGCTTGTATAATTCTGTGTGAATTTATATACTACGTATGTAGTCCTTTGAAACGCGTGCCAAAATGATTTTTCGGTCTTAAAACATTAACTCTGCTAAACTATCGCAGTAATATCACGAGTTAAATTGACTACCAATGTAACAATTGGATGCTTTTTCGCATCTTAGAACGATCTCAATATAATGCTGAGTGACATATTAAAATCTGTAAATAATTAATTCTTGTTGCGAAAAATATTACCTCGGCCGAGAGTTAAACCCGGATCTCTTGCATTCCGTGCGAGCGTTCTAATTAAGCCTTTAGTCCACAAACACAATAGAGTAGTAAGCTTTAAGCCTTAAGAAATTGATCAATCACAGTTGAATGTGAGAAGAATAATCGACTATGATTGGTTAATTCCTTAAGACTTAAAGCTTACTACTCTATTGTGTTTGCGTACTTAGACGACCGAGGTTTTGAGCAAGATAATCTCGCTTTGACTAAAACAAATTTGATGAAAAATGTCAAACCAATTGTAGGTTGCTATCACATGGCCAGATACAATGAGTGGTATTCATAATTCAATGATCTTTAGACGGTAATATCTTCTAAAGTATTGCGAAACTTATAAAATGATAAAGAACTTTTCGACTCGGTTCAGTCCACTCTATCTGCTTACGAGAGGCGATTTTGTAAGTCGGGGACATCCTGTATGAAGGAAGTCCTCTGGAGGAGCTCAGTATTAATAAGCTCCTCACCTTGATGAAATGAAGAATCGCAAGAACGTTGGTATTAGCAATGAATCACGATACGACGATAACTCTTTAACCCTCTTCAGCTCTTTTGTCAGTAACCTTGTAATAAACAATGGCCCAGTGAGAAATGACTGGTTTACACCGTGCGCTTAGTTCGCGGCCTATACGATAGGCGTCTTTGTTTATCTATCGGTTAAATAAGGATGCCTATGTATCGTATAGGTCGCGGACTGATTAAAGGGTCTCTATCGCGGACTAAGCGCACGGTGTAATCGTAGCCATTGTAGAATCGATGTCGATTCGTCGTCGATTCGATGATTTCGACGAATTTCGATGTCAAACAATGTCAAATTGACATCGATTCGATGTCGAATCCATTGTCATTTTTCACTGGGTGAGCGACGGCTGAAATCTGTGGAATGTTATTTAGGAGAGTGTCCTTGTCAACGTATGGTCAAAGTCATTGGACCTAGAATTCCCTATTGTCAACATTTATCGAAAAGGTAACGTTTTGCACTGTTCAAGGGATTTTTAATTTAGCAGCTCTTTTTTCAACGTGCAAGTTGCATATACCTGGTGAGTACGTGTCTTCTTTGATAGACTGATGATCAGAACCACCAGGGCATGAACCTAAACGTCGTCGAATGTTCGGTGATCCAATGACTGAGACGTCCTCATCTGAGACGTCAACCGCCGTAATACCGCAATTTCTTCTCATCTATAAACATTGTTGAAAACTTTTACCCTGATTTTCTTATATCTTATATCGGTCGAATTTAAGATAAAAAATACATTGCATATCTTATCAAAAAGTGTATGATTCATAAAAAAAAAAGCTTATTGAAACATTCAATTATTTCACACAGTACGTTTTTATTATACAAATCAGATGTAGTAATGAAAGTGAACTGAGTTCATAGAACCTTATATGTGGTCTAATTATCTGTATATTAATCAAAGAAGGGTGTTAAAAAAATCTCGATTTTAGCCTTTAAGATACATTTGAATGGACCTTAAAAAATCATTGTTTGGGTCTTCGGAGAATAATCATTTGTCCGGGAAGTGGTGTAAACATTGCTAGAATTGTTTAAATATAGTAAAAAGTGACATTATTCACGTATATATACATTTAATAAATGAAAAATGATGATTTTGGTCAGAAACATACGTATAAAGATTGCGGACTACTTTATCACTATTTAGGATGCACCAGGTGGAGATACAGTTCGCTTAGCATTTCTTGACAGAGATCAGGACTTCACAATTTGTCACTCCTGTAGTATTAGCGATTCTAAACTTTCTTTGCCATGTGTGCATGCGCGCGCGCGTGTGTGTGTGATATAGATAAAGTATGAATGAATTAACATTTCATATGCATTTTCATCAGAATCTGAAGACACTAATAATTATTTTTCTTCAAAATAACCATCGAAGAATGGAGCAAGAATCGAAATGTTCTCTTGGAATCAAGCTTTACCAAAAAATCACAAGAATGTTGTAACGTGAGAACAACACATTGACCTATCTTATACCCACAGGTGTGGGTATCCAATAATAGCACCAATACCTTTTTTTCGGATTAACCAATAAATATACAAAATATTTTATAGAATTCGAGTATCTAGAATGCAATCGAGTCAGTATGCCAGATTCACATAGTATCGAAAAAATTAATATTTAAACAAGATTGTTTTCTGTATTGAAATATATCTTTATGTTCAGAAATAATTTGTGAGTTTTGATCTTGTGTGGCACTTTTGAGAAAAAAAAATGGTATCATCAATTTCGGCTTGAATTAAGTTCTCATTTTCATCTTCTGTAATGTTAACGTTTCTATTGTTTTCAGACTTTTCATTACACTTTTTTTTCTTTTTATATCTTTTGTTACTGGAGAACCTATTTGCTAAATTACCTCTTAGTTACTGAATCGTAAAAAGATTCCTATAAAAAGGCAATAAAATAATCGTTTTTCCTTTATTAACCGTATATGTGAATAATATCATTTTTTACTGTATTTAAACAATTCTAACAATGTTCCTACCACTTTTCGGAAAAACGATTGTTACTTTCTATTTTTTGAGGACCCAAGCAATGATTTTTCCAGATCTTTTCAGGGCATCTTGGGAATGAAAATCGACACTTTTTTAACACTCTTCTTTTTTATAATTCATAAAAGACACTATTTTTTATTCCGACTTTATTTAGTGTAATTATTTTTTCATGCATGTTAGATTACAAGTAAGTGCTAAGTAAATGGAAAATAAATAACAGACTTTACCTTGGCCTCGCTGCGGCTATAATTTCTTTGAGGTAAACCGGTGTGGAGATCGAAAAGCCCATGATCCATCAAGTTAGATTCAGATTCCGAGACTGGCATCTCTGCTTGATTGTTCACTGCGTATTTAACGAATACAAATCTTAAGGCCACTACAAACTTGTGTATCATATCACTGTTACGTATCAATTCAATAATATGATATGAGACAATGTAACATAATGATATTATATGGCGCAACAGTTTGACATTAAAATTATACGAGGCAACGGAATTTATTTTTTTCTTGTATAATTTCACGGACTATAAGTATCTCGGCCATGTAATGTTATCTTCCTCCAACAATGAAAATCGGAAAACCGTTACTATACTTATATAGCACCGAAAGGTTGCAGAAATATTGCATAAATCTTGCATTGAACCATTGTAATATTGCATGAAAGTATCTGCAATGTTACTGCAAGCTTGCGACAACGTTAAAATGTCCGCCCTCAGAAATATTACAATGCTTACATTGTAAAATAAAAAATTATTTTGAATTGTACAACATATAATTTATAAAGGCTTTTTAATTTATGTACATATAAAATTGTATATATTGGCATCACCTTTGTAAATATATTAATTATCTCACTTTTTTTGAAATTTTGTTCATATTAGATTATATATTTTTAAAGTTTATCTATTAAATTTAAAACGTTTTCTGTATATACAAGATGTCTCAATAACTATTACCACCTGAAACAAAACTATATTATAACACGATATGCAAAAATGCAATAACTCTGTAGTCGCATTTATACATTCAAAGGAGAAATACGCTCTCTTAAAGAAATTCGAGATTTATCTACTTTTAAATTTCGACGTATATAGAACTATCGATTTATGAAAAAATAATCGATGCTTAAAAATTAAAATCGAAATGTGAAAATTGCATTAGTTTTTGTAAAAATATAATGTAGCATCTCTCACTTTGATTTTTATAAAGATACACACACTTACGTAGTCGTTTTCTCGCCAGCAATTGCTCTTCACGCTGTTTGCGACGCGCCAGGACCTGTTCCTCTTGGATACGCCGTCTTTCATTCTCCGTGATCGCCTGGTTGAATTTCTGGTAGAACTGATGGAATATCCTGAAGCACTCTTCAATTTTAAATGTGTTCGTGTCCTCACAGAAGAATTCCACGAGCGATCGTCTCACACCCTCGAGCTCCTCCATATCTCTCTTCAACTGCGCCATTTCTCGCTCGGCCATCTGTAAATTTCGAACAAGAGTTTCGTTCACTTACTGTACTTTCTAAAAAATTTTATTTCGTTGTATAATATCTGTGATATTAAACGTTATATTCGTTACTTGAAGAAATTGTGCCATCTGTTCCTGTATGTCGTTTTCGGTCGAAGAGAACTGGATCTGACTCTTGATTTTTATTATCTTCGTATCCAAGCTATTAAATTCGTTAGTCAGTTGTTCAATCGTCGTCCTTATAGAAAAAAATCTACTGTGAAAATATTTCTTTCACTATTATTATAATACAAATAGTAATAATCCTTACTTTGTCGCTGCTTCAAGGGCAGTTATATTCTTCGCAAAGCTTAGTAAATTCTTTCGCTTTCTCTCGGCTTGCTAAAATATAAGTAATTTTAATTAAGAGAATACACGATTTTCTAAATTTTTAAATATAGTATACAATATGTGTTCTATTTTACTTAAATAAAATTCTTATAATTAAATAATCAATGTTTTACCAACGCTACATAGTGTATCAGATTCATTCCTGGCTTATTCGCACGAATTTCCGTTAGCTTCTGCAAAGAGGAGAGCTTCACACCCGCCGCATTGCCAGCATAGCCGCCCTATAAAAGCGAAATGACTTTTACTTACATATTGGCACACTATCCAGAATTCAATTGGTCGATGACAAATACGTACTGAGTTGAGGAAGTTACCAGCGACCAGAACCATGTACAGCACCTCCTGCAGAAGCTTGTTCGTCATGAGATCCTCACCGGCAAGTATCATTGAGTTGATACTTAGCTCCAAATAGCTCATATTCGCAGCAAATTCTTCCTTCAGCAGCATACACTCAATGCGTAATTTATAACTAACACATATCGATAGTATCATTATTTCAATCTTAATAATAGGAAAAACATTAATTTTTCTTTATAAATGCATACACAACGAATTACTTTGGCACTTGAATAAGCTGCAAAAAGAACTTCTCAGCGTTGCCAAGTTTTGATTTGTCGCCGTCGAAGCTCTTGAGCATCTCAAGTTCATCTACTTCCGGCAATATTTTTAACAGACCACGTAGCTTTTCTGCACCGATATCATCGTGACCTCCTTCCTTGATCAGTTGGATTATATTTTCGTTCGAACTGAATAGAGAATGAACATGTGCGGATAATAACACTCGACAAATAAAAAAAATTGTTTGCATGTACCAAATAAAGTAATTATTAGTCCTTTTATTCACTGAATATAAAAATACCTACAACTTTTCTACTATTGAAATATTGATCAAACTTCATTTGTAATAAAGATATCTATTTTATTTTTTTTTTTAATTTTTACATCGCAAGGTTTAGAATTTTCCTCTTCTTTTCTCTCAACCATGTGAAGAAAAATACATACACACAACACACGCATAACGAATTTAACTTAAATTCTGATTTCTAATTTGACAATCGAAATGTGGGCTATAGATTTCTTCAAAAAGTTTTCGTAAGCGATCTTAATTTGTGATTTCATAATAAAACTGTCATACGCATAATAAAATTTATTTGCATTTATGTAAGATCTACGAGAAAAATTCACTATATTTAGATTTTGTTAAAGTAAGGCTAAAAGTTTACGTTAGGAGAGCCTCCCCAATGACTTTAACATATGTTGTCATGACCTTGAATGACTTCCAAGGTTTCAGCCATTGCTCGTTAAAAAGTTATTAACAAAATCAATTTAAAAAATAACGTTTTTTTCTATTACATAAAACAAAAATTCTCTGTTTTAAAATAATTTTTTTACTTCAAAAATAAAATTGTTCTTTAAAATCATTATCTTTTAACATAATTTTTAAAGCAGAGAATTTGTTTTTAAAGCAGAAAATTTATGATTTTGTAATGACTTCACGCGAAACGAGATTCATCTCACATCTCTTTCCTGCCTAGAGACGTACGACTTTCCACGCAAAGCAAAGTCCATCCCACTTCCTCCCCCTCCCTCCCCACCTCCACCCTGCTTAGGGCGCGCGACTTTCCATACGAAGTGAAGCCCACCCCCTGCTTAGAGGCATACGACCTTCTAGACAGAAAGGGTGTAATGCAGATTGCAGATCTTTAGGCAGGAGGAGAGAAAATGGAGTAGACCTTGCTTCGCGTGAAAAGTCGTGTGCTCTTAGGAGATGGAGTCCTTGGCAGGGGAGGATTGAGGTGGGGTAGAACTCGCTTCGCGAAGAAAGTCGCGCGCCTTTAGGCAGGGAGGAGGTGGGCTGGACCTCGCTTCGCGTAGAAAGAAGTACAGCCTGAGGCAAGGGGGAGGTAGGGTAAATCTCGCTTCGCATGAAAAATCGTACTCATCGTGGCAGAAGATTGAGGTGGACTTCGCTTCACGTGAGAAGTTGTACTTTCTTAGTTTGCCCACCCCATATCTTTCCTCCTGCTTAGAGTCATTCGACTTTTCATGCAAAACGAGGAAATAATTACCAATTTTGATTGTTAATCATTTTTTAACGAATAACAAGCGATGGCTAAAACCTGCTACAACATTTTGAATATTAGACACGTAAAAGAGAGTCACCAGAGAAACTTAAAATATAGGTTTTACTGATGTTGCCGAAATCTCGTTGATCAGTGTAAAATAATGAACTATAATACTTTAGTACTTCTATCAATTTTTAATAATCATTTTCTTATGCAGAACATTTATTAATACTTTTGTCATCCTTAAGTTGCGTTCAAAAATGCTATTAGTATTATTTGTATCATTTTATCTTTATTTTATGTTTAATGAACGATAAAGGTAGAATGACACGAATAATTCTTTGATAGCGGTCTCTTTTTATCATACCTTCTAAATTGTTTCAGGAAAATGCTAACGTTTAAGCTTCTCTTTCCGTCGAGTAACGCGATCTAAATTAAAAAGAAAACAATTGAAAGTATAACATATAGTATGTATAAGATTCGTTATTCTTTACTGTAAAGCAAAATAATTAAAGAAGATTAACCTCGGTCGGTTCACGACGACGTCGTTCAATATCGACTCCGGTGCCGTACGAAGTCGAATAACTCGCTGGTAGTACCATTGGTGGCACTTGTTGACAGAATAAACCTTCCATCTCAGCCCAGTCTAGATCTGACATCGTAGAATTTTGATAGTCGTTCGCGACGAGGGACCAAATATTCCGTTTGCCAATCACCTACGATCAATGTTTGCTGTTATCTAAAAAAATGATCTAGATAGTTATTTAGATGAAAAATATGTATTATCTCCATCTGTAATTTAGATAAAAGAAATATTATATTTCTTTTTCAAATTATCTTAATATGTAGCATGTATCTCTCAGTATAAGATTTAAAAACATCTTTTTTATATATAAGAAAAAAAAAGCTGGATGTTTTTATATTTAATATTCTCAGATCAGGATTCGTAATTCTGTCTAGGGTTCATAATTCTGAGCATTGACTTAATGTGTGTGTTATCACTATTATCTTCCTTTATCTATCATTTAAAAAAGGAAATACTTTCAATACTGAAATACTTTTATATTTAAAAGCTAAATCTAAAAAATTACGACATTCTTTCACTAATTATTAGTGATTGCGACAAATATTACTGCAGCCTCATTAGTTGAATTGGGAGTATGCCTACACAGAATTCGAGAGATCCGGGTTCGAATCACGGTTGAATATTCTTCGCGATAAGTTATTCATAGTTTTTAAATGCTTATTAGTAATAAATTATTAAAAAGTATTCTTCTATCGTATAAGATGCTTATTAGTATCAATGTTATTAAATTGTTTGTCAATTTAATAACAATAATGCTAATATATGATGTTATTACTCTAATTCTATAATTCTAATCTGGACACACGGTAGTGTCTCGGGGCTTATATTATACCTATAGTTTAATACTTTTGTGATACTATTAAAATTAAAGGAATAGTACTCGCGCGCCTCTTTATCATTACACTTGCTGTATGCACGTTTCTGATATTGTTTGCCGCGCTCCTTAGTTATGAGCGTCCGGTATGCCGGCATCTCGTTCCTAACGTGCAAGTGGCAAGAGGGGGGGGGGGGGTTTTAGTGGGCGTGAATCGTGAAATCTGGCTGAAAGTTGCAAATAAATTCCAGCACTAATCTAATATATCAGTAATATTTCCGTAATATTATATTGTAATATATATATTATTTCTGGTAATTATACAATATTACTGTGGTATTACTCTGTCATTACGTGTGCTATGTGGATTATTTAAATCCTCGACAACTCTCTTCTTAGATACCTTATGATTAGGTATCTTATTCCAGTTAATAGTCTTCATCTTCGTTTTAGGGATGGGTATTTCTTGTTGCGGCAGCAATCTGGCGTGATTACTGGGTAACTCAGGAGTAGGTGCGCGTGTAACGGGAGACACGTGTAGGGGTGGCGGCATCATTGTCTCCATCGATGCATCAGACGTAGCGACATTCACGAAAAGCAGCGGCGGAGGTGGCGGCGGCAGAACAAAACTGCTACCGCTTGGCAAAATCGATGGACTTGGTGTCATCGGGATCGGGGGTGGCGGTGGTGGTGGTAAGGGTGCTGTTGAATTGTTACTCGTCGACAGCGATGTTTTTCGCGACGTTCCGCACATCTGATCGGGACCGCGACAGTGACAGCATAGATTCATCTGTTCGAATTCCACAAATATCAACACAAAGGGCAAAATAATACCAAAATTCAGCAAATATCTTAAATCATTAAATATATATATTTTTTATTTATTCTATAGTCAATCATATGAAAACAAATATATATTATGTGATAAGAAGTATATTTTTATAAAGCATGAACTCGAAAAAATCCGTACACAGAGAGATGGTCATAATATTTTTTCAAATGTACATAGAATATTCATTATATTTGGCACAAAGTTAGCTAACAGGTTGTACGCGTGAAAGATGGTGTAGTTGATTAGACTCCACTGACTTATTTGGAAAAATGACGCGAAGTGAAGATATTCATAAGTCATTTGCGTTATACATACGAATGGAATATCTAAATATGTCTGTAAGAAAGATTGCAAGAAAACTACAATTGGCCACATCCATTGTTTCGAGAATATTTGAAACGATATTTTGAAATGATTTCCAGAACATTAGATTATTGATCTCAGGTCTGGATCTGGAAGAAAAAGCCCAGCATGTCTCCTGAGATAAAGAAACAAATTGTTTAGGAGAAATTCCAATTTATCTTTGCGTGATGTCGCAAAAAAAGTAGGTGTAAAGTAAGTGTACAAGTACAAAAAAGTAAATGTACAAGTTGTGATATACCCCCCTCGCCCCTACCATTTTTGTCACATCACGCTACGATAAATTGAGATTTTCTCTGAATAGCTAGACACTGTTTCTCTATCTCAGGGCATGGTAAAACGGTTTATTCCCTCAGATCCAGGCCTGCGAACAATGGTTTGACGTTCTGAAAATTGTTTCAAGACATCTGAAACAGTGATCAATTGTAGATTTTCGGCAATCTTTCTTACAGACACAAATCGATACTCCATTCGTGTGTACGCAATCAATTTATGAATATCTTCACCTCGCGCCATTTTTCCACTAAGTCACGTGAGGTTTATTTTGACCACGTCATCTTTCACGCATACCTGTTATGTAGCTTAACTTTGTGCCAAATATGAATATTCTATAATTCTATATACATTTGACAAAATATTATAAGCATTTCTCTATGTACGAATTTTTTCCGTGCTTTAGATATCTGTATATAGTCATGCCATAAATTTGGTTCGTTAATAAAATAATTTCATAATTACAACAAAATAAAATGAAATATATATATATTCGTTTTATTTCAATTACTTACAAAATAAAAATTAGTGTAACTATTAAAAATATTCATATTAAATTAAGAATTTTTCCAACAACTAAATATGACACAACAAGTAAGGTATAAATGGCTTTAATGATCAAGCTGAACCTTAGGTGGTTCAATAATTTGATTTGAATTTATATATTACATATATATAATCTTTAAATTGTTCATCGAAATGATTTTTCGGTCTTGAAATCCAACTGAACTATAGTAGTAATATCACAAATTAAATTGACTAGCAATTTAATAATTTGATGTTAATAGACGTCTTAAAAAGATCTTAATGATGCTGAATATAACACACACATACACACAACACGTGCTACAATCAGTAGATAATCCTACTGCAAAAAATATTACTTTGGTTAGGGATCGAACGCGAATCTTTTGCATTCCATGCGAGTCTTGACCATTAGACTACCGAGACCTTAATAATATTCTTCGCAATAAGTACAAGTAGAAACAATGCCTTTTTAGGCGATGAAATAAACATATCTATCTATAGATATAAAGAAAAGTACATATCTTTTATCTTTGCAAATTTCTTCAAACAGTTGGGTTTCATACTTTCATAATACGTAAAATCTTAATGAGTATTGACGCTGTCTTTACCAAATCTTTTTAGAGTCTTCCTACTCCTTTTAATATAAAATTTCTTTTCGAGTTTCAACGAAATCCCTTTTCTTTAAAATTTAAATAAAAATTATTTTTAATCTCATCGGAATATTGAGGCTTTGTAGGCTCCAATGTAAACAGTAGCATCAAGATTTTGCATGCTACGAGAATTTGAAGAAATATTTATGAAACTAAAAGGTAAATATTTTTTTTAAGTAGAAATATATATATATATATATATTTAGTAAGTATACATATATTATTCTATTTTTTTTATTTTAATTATAAAATAAATTCATTTTTTATAGGAACAGAATTTATGGCACAATCATATTCTCTCTCTCTCTCTCTCTCTCTCTCTCTCTCTCTCTCTCTCCATATATATTTTTTCTATTTACACTTTTCCATTTACGCGATTAGTTGATACGCGCAATGTCTTTAGATTTATCGCCCACAAAAAGAATATGAGAAGTATCTTTGAAATTATATTTTGGCAAATCTTTTACTTTGCAAAATCGCATGATTGACGAAAATAACGCGGATAAGTCATTGATACGAAACACGTATGGGTTTCTTCTTTTGTGGATTGACGTTTTCATTTAAATATAGTCAGAAAGTAAAAGTACATGACGGATGTTACATTAGCTTACGTTAGCGAGGTTGACATTGACAACGATCCCTACGAGTAATCGTGAAATTTAAGCAGATTTGATGTAACGCACGTAAAAGTGTCTCTTTCCGTCAACAGATATGTCGCCATCAAATGCGACGTAAATTACGACTCGTAATTGGCGAAGGTCCGAGGAAAACAAGAGTCAGTTTTATCGACTCTGGCTTATATAGAAGAATTGCATATAATCATTCTTGTATAATCACACTATATATAATAATAATTTCCAAAAGTAATTAGAACATTGCGTAAGTTACGATCTCTATTTTGTGAAATAATTTTGCGAATTTCTTTTCTCTTTTTTTCGAAAAACATAAAGAAAAAATGCGAACATTTACTTGAAGACTAGGCGACCTCAATAACTTGGTGGCGTCCTCGCGACTCTCCAATAACGTGGCTCGGTGCACTAAGGTTTCTGCGATGTCCCATGCCAGATCACTGGCGGCGTCTTTCGGATCTAATCGTAGCAGATGCTGCAAGACACTCAAAAAGGGTATCTCTTGTGGAGTGTCTGCGACCTATAAATGTGCTGTATTTTATTAGGCATCTCTTATGCGCAGCGCTCGATGTGTTTGTCTCAATTAGAAGGCTTTAAATAGCTTTTATAAACTTTTACAGCTATACAATATAGCTTTCACATACTAGTACTTAAATGACAAGAAAATTTAATACTCCATATGGATTTGAGCTGGACTCGACATAACATAACATTTCGTTACAGCAGCTTTAATATGGAATTACACTCGATATAAATTTCTTATATACTTTGTTCTATTATTCTTAATTCTTTAATTGAAAGTATTTTTACACTTATCTTATTCAATTCAAGTATGCATATTACATCAATATCTTGTCTTAGTAGTTATTACGTCGTTAAATATGTAACTTCAAATTTTTGACGCCTAAATTTAATGTATGAAATAGAACTGTTTCCTTTTCTATGAAAGGAAAGCTGGAGTTTGTCTATGCAAATGTTGTAAACAATATCATACACTACTGAAACAAAATGTGATAAATCAATTTTAAAATACATATTTTAATAATTAGAAAAAATTTATATATATATTTTTTTTTCTTATATTTATTTTAAAAAGAATCTAAAATTTTCATTGTAAAATTTTCCTATTTTCATTTGGAACTGATAAAGTAAAATATTAAATTGGTTACAGAATGCAAAGGCTGAACAGATAAAAATTAATAATATAATGCGGCGCATTTATTTTTAAGGAAAAAAGCAAAAAAGTATCTCGCAAAAAATTAACTCCTCCAAAATTAATCTTCTGTCTGTGTACAGGGATACAACCTATCCCAGGACATTTATTAAGCTGATAGTCTGCAAAGATTGCAGCACAATCGAATAAAACTTACACAGAAATTTAGCTCTTTTATTGTTAATTTATATTGCTAAATTCCCGATTGTATTGCTCTAGGCGATTCGAAGGGAGAACCCAATTGACCATGGTTCGATTGGACACGCACAATTGAACACGTGCAATTGGACACGACGTGAAAAATAATGTATGTCTTAGAGTAAACTATACATATTATAACGTCATGTAATTTAGACTGCTTATATAAACAAATTATTAAAAATTTATCATAACACTTCGAAATTCAACACATTAAAACACAGAAAATGAACCTAAATTTACAAACGGATACACAATTTCTTGACCATGCTTATACCGCGGTTCTCGAAATCATCTAGTGTAAATTTGTTTATGACTAAAAATATAACTTTGCTCCTCGTTAGTTATGTACCAGCGATGACACGTAGTGTTAATATTGTCTTAGTAACCGAGATATATATATATATATATATATATATATGTGAGGCGTATATCGAGGTTTTGAAGCTGTAGAAAAGTGCAAGTAGACCTTAAAAGAAAAATGCATAACGTATAAAATGTAATAAGCAAAATTTTATAAAATTGAACAAACTTACTGTTTTTCGCACGCTTCATTCTGTTGAATTAGAACGGCGTAATAATTCACACGTCGTACATTTTCTCTCGAGCTTAGCCGTTCGTCGAATCTATTTGAGCGACTGATGCTCTAACATTGTCAAAACTCCTTTTTTAAATTCGTGTCCGACTACCACATTTTTAAGTGACGTATCCAATATGAAATTTTACTTATTTTCACAAATATGTGAGTTAATTTTCAGTGTAACTGCTGCTAAGCCTACATCAATCTGTACAATGGCACATATCATAAGAACGCTTTAACCATATCAAACCTTTTTTTTTATCTAATTGTAAGGGATCAGTGCCAATAAGGCAAACAACAACAATAAGGTCTATCTGTTCCCACGCTTCCTTTTTAAAATATTTCAACTTATCTTTACGATTGCGATAAAATCGCCCTCCGGAAACATGCTGATACATGTGAAAAAACATGTTGAAACATGTTCGGACATGTTAAAACACATTAAAATGTGCAGCATATCAAATGATGTATTGCCTCCATTCATAATAAGAAAAGATTTTTCGGGATACATTTTGTCACTAGTCAATCAGACAGTTCAGAATAACAAAATGGAGCAAACGGAGCATAATCTGACAGCGCAAGCTGCATTGTTAAATACGCGAGGAGAGTTTATCATATGGGAACAGCATTACCGCGAAATAAAAAAATTAATTCCCAAATGAGGGCGTTTTTTTTCAATTATAATTCTGCCGTGTGTATTCAAGAATATGATGTAGATCAACAATACGTATTTTACCATTAAAACTGAATTAAGTAATTGTATAGAATAAATAACACTCACAATATATTTTAAGAGTAACACTTAAGTTAACTCTCAAATATTAAGGATAACGCTCAAGTTCAGCGTCTGAAATAACTCTAAATTGAGTGTAAACATTCAAATTTTGAGTTTTTCATAAGGGAAGTGATACCGTATCCGAGGATGATTACGCGCACGCCGTTAACGTGTGGCAGCGGTTCTTCATCCGAAAGATCTGAAGACGCGGTAGTGGCTCGGCGCTAAGCGCGCGCAGCAACACTGCCGTGGTTACAGATTTCCTCATCCATTTTTATCTCAGTATGGCGACTAACGTTGAAAGTAAAATGGATAAAGAGATCTGTAATTTTTTTATTTTTTCCAGCTTTGAACATAAAATACACCAGCGACAAGTACATTGGCATGTAAGTACACTTTAATCGTGGAAAAGGAATTTTTATTCTGTGAAACCATTACGAAGAAATTCGACAGGAACGAAAACGTCAAAGACGCTAGTTTTATCAGTAATACAGGCGGCTCTAGCAACCTCTTAACATATCACAGATAGTATTTATAAGAAAACTTTTGGAATTTTTCTATTCGGCAACTTTTTATTTACGATGTTTAGCCTGTGGTATGTTTACACCCCTACACAGACAGAAGATTAAACGCAAATATTATCATAAACACTAGCGAAAGCTGGGAAATAGGAAAAACGCCGCAAGTCGCTCACTTGACCAAGGATGGCGTAAAAGACGTCTACGTGAGAGGAGAGATCAATCCCGGGCGGTCCGTGATTCGTGAGCTCCTCATCGGCCTCTTGCTGATAGTCGAAGGCATCCAGCTGTACTCTCACATTCGACACATGACTTTTCCTGCAAAAACAATCGCCGTCATCTTGACCTATGGACACTTGAAACATGGATCTTTAAATTCTCACGTGTATCGCTTTCCTCTTTATTTTCGGCTTGCTCTATTTGAGCATTCTTTGGAGATTCAATTCTCAGTTCGATTTTTCCTTCACATTTCATATTTTTAAGTAACCTTGCTTTTATTTAATATTTCAAATAAACAACGCGACCAATTTGTGAGATTCTAGAATTCCCGTTTGACAATTTATCGCTTCATTGTATATTTTAATAACAATATTTTCCACATCAACATCTAGGTCTTTTATTGCACACTTCATATAATTGTTTATTATGTGACAATTACAGTTTGCTTTAAAATCATGGTTGTTTTAGGCTTTTAACTTTTGATAAACGGAATTATGTTTGCCATAATTCACAGAAGCATTATCTGCACTATAAGCGCTAATTTGACTCATTTTTAGATTGGCAGCAACAATTATTTTTTAACGTATTGAAATATATCAAGAAATGTCTTGTTGAGAATTCTTCATAAAAATCTAATAACTTTTTACAAACCCCATTTCTTTCATGAAATACTGAACGGTATACGAAAATGATTTTATGTTATCAATATTCGAATATACTACAAAATCTGAATATACTACAAAATAACAAACCTCTCAAATTTGATACAACTTTATTCTGCAAAAAGGACCTTAAAACATTTCATGTAATTGCTGAAGCTTTAGTGCGCCCACGTACATATCATTTTAGCAGCAATTTCGCTATCGGGAATATAATTTTATTGATATTTTTGGCAAGGCAGTCCAAACTATTGCAACTTAAACTATGCTTAACATTATGGAAACAGGAAAATGCTATTTCCGCAATTGTGATCAAAGTCTCCTCTTTTGAAGCTTTTTTTTATGAAAAAGTTGTCCGCAGCTCTTGTGGTCTTTCTTATTAACTCTATAGTTAATTCTTATATTTAGCAGAATTTGCGTAGATCTAAAATATTGAAATTGTTTCATGTTATTGAATAAATATTAGTATATGTATTGAATGAGTGAAATCTTTCTGGGGGGACTCTCAAAAACAAGCTTTTGATGCTATGAAGCTTTGCTTAATGACACCGCTTACGCTTTCATCTCCGGACTTTGAGTTACCGTTCGTCTTACAAACCGACGCGAGTTCGATCGGATTAATATTTTCTCGCTACTTGTTACATAAAAGGATATTTTAAAACTCTGTTTTTGTCTTAAATGAGTAGAAATAGGGACATTAATAGCTTAATAAGTAGAAATAGGGACATTGGTGCCTTAATAAGTTGATACTACAAATACGGATCTTCGCAGTGTACTCACCGCAGTTCGTTCAGAATCGGCAGTAGCTTGAGACCTGCAATAGAAATCACAGTTGTGTGTCAATGCCGTATCTAATCGACGTAATTCAACCTGCTTCATCTCGTAAATCTTGCGTTTCATATATATACGAGAGCTTGAACGGATGTGAAAGCGAAAAAGATGTAGAATGTAGAGAAAGTATTCAAAAAACTTTTAAAAAAAAAAAGAAAATAGTAAAAAACCGTTCAAATTAAATTGCCAACGCGAAACAATAAATTAAACAGTCATATTTGAACGATACGTTTCATATTAAATCCTCTCATTCATCTTCCACTTGTAGTGGCGATCGTGGCCTAAAGAGCCACGAGAGCCATGATTGCTCTCTGTGCATTCTTCTTTTTCTTCTTTAGTTAATGGCTCTCGCCTCCCGCGAAATAATAAGCGGAGGTCGATACAACCAGATCACGTCATATAAGAAATACAAAGATTAAAAGTGATGCAAAGCTCACTCGGACACCGGGTCACCGGGCGCCGCATGGACGCGCGTCAGGACGAACGAACGGGTCGAGTCCAAATGCCAAAACCGCGGGATGGCTAGGTATGTTTCAATGCTCAGTCAAAGTCGGCAACACTTTCAAAAATATAATATAGCTTGCAGCATCTGAGTCGAGACGCGTCCGCCGCGAGCGAGTGGTTCTTCAGAACTGTGATCTCTCCGTGCCAAAGATCCAGAATTTCCATCCAAAAAATCAAATTTTATCTGATCGTTACCTCTCGGAAGGCAATGGCAAACCTCCAAGAGTATAAAATCCTGAGAAATCGGGCAAATGAGAGTTATAACGCAATTGTTGGAGCGTGATCAAATAATACTGTTAATCCAATCAGAAATGATAATGGAATCGACATCGAATCGACATCGAGACTGTCTTAAGTACATATAAGTCAATCCAAGGACTGTATTAGCACACATTTTAAGACATTATTTAAGACGGATTTAAAATAAGAACGGACTATGGATACCGTCTCATGTTTCGCGTTTCATAGTTGATAGCCCTTGAACCCTATTGATGATGACGCGGGGCAAAAGTAGGTTTGGCCGAACTATATGATGCAACAGAACTATATTAGGCCTGTTCTTTTTGGCTGAACTTTTACACCAGTTTATCTTTCTTCCTCTTCTTTGCTCCTGGAGAGAAAAGGAAGAAAGATGAACTGGTGCAAAAGTTCAGCCAAAAAGAACAGGTCTAATGTAATCTTTCCACCATGGTGCGTGCGCGCGCGATATTGATGTAGCAATATGTAGTAATGTGCCAATGGCACGTAAATCGTATATCTACATAAATCTATCGAGTCGATAAAACAGACAACTTTAGGATAGACAACTTAACATCCCTTTAATGATATTTGCAAAGAAGATTTGTGCCGCTTTTTTTCACTCACCGATGAATTCGTTGCGAATACGTATGCGGTCCTTGAGCACCGGCGTCGATAAGACCAAACAATTTATGAACGCTAGTAGTGCCGTCTGGTAATCCTCGGACGTTGCTTTCTGCAACTCGTCGACCACGACTCGCAATCGATAACGCTCGCCCTTTCGCTCCTACATTTGAACATACGTAGATCAGTAATAGCTATACCTATACAAATATCGATGAAATGTTCAAAATATTGTATGAATACTCCTTGTATATATCGCGCAAATCACGAGCAGTACAAATCTTCGCCGACAGTAGAGGGCTGCGGCGGAAAGCATTTAGGGAACGTTTATATTGGCCGTAACCGTGTGCCATAATCTATAATAAGAATGGACTAATCACAATCGAGTATTCCCCTCTCATTCCACTGTAAGAAGGGAATATTTGAAGATGATTGGTCAACTTTTGCAAATTGTGGCATACGGCATACGGTTACGGCCAATATAAACTCTTCCTTACTCATTAACAAGAATTATCGGGGAGAGAATATAAGGAGCGCAATATTTCGTCTGTAAAGTAAGCCCCAAAATTAGACTCCAAAGTGAAAATGTCAAGTGTTTTTCAAAACAAAATTTTGTTTAAAAACTAATTCAGGGACAACCTGGAATTTCTCGAAAAATTAAAATTATGTGGAACATATATGGAACATTCTCAGAATATTTAAATGGAATCTTTGACCGATATTTGAATATATTTAGCGTTAACTGGGAATAAACATGGAACAATACAAATTTTTTATTTATCAAGTTGAATACTATTTTTTTTATGATAAAGACGTAATGAGGTTTCTTGTAGTAATACTTTTAGATAAAAATCTAAAAATATTTGGGGATTTCATGCAACGCGAACAGACCTATTATTACGTGCTTCGTTCTTTTGCATGTTTTTGTATCTTGAACTATAACTTTTACCTAAGCGCTTTTATCTACACACAATTAGTGTACAACGCGGTAGTTACGGCTAGTTCGCTTGCTTCTTCTGAAATGCTGTGCTTTGTGGCAATACTTTTTGCGCGACAATTTATCGCGATCGCTTTAGGCGATTCGGTTACATTCTCGTCGTTCGAACGTACAACTTATGGAAGTTATATAATTTTCACCAAATCGGTGAAAATTAGATTTTCGCAAACAATGGGCGCATTCAGCGGACTCAATAGTTGAGTGAACGCTCGCTATTATTGGTATATTCTCTTAGATTATCCAATCAGAATTTTAGATTTAGAAGAATACATCAATAGCAGCGAGCGCTCACTCAACTGTGAGTTCGTTGAACGCAGCCAATGTGTACTTTCAGAAACGGTCACCTGATACGTGTGAAGAGTATCGATAGCTCTCTGCCTGCCGTCTTGGCTATAAACACACAGCGCAGATAACAGCTCCACGACTTGCTTCTTCACGGACGGGCACGCTGTCTCCAACGCTGCAATATAGTGGTGGAATATAGGATGATCGAGAAAACACTAATTAACGCTGTATTTATGCCATTCTATCCTTGTTTTACTTGTATCTAATGAATGATGAAGAATGTCATATATAGCACCGACGAGATACTATTATAAAGACCGTCGGCCTTGGGCAAATTTTCGTGACTATCAATGGGGCCCCGAAGGCCCGAGAATGATTGAAGAACGAAGACATCACTGACAATTAATAAAAATTTACGACTATTAATATAAATATTTCGATAATTTATTATTAAATTCGTGATTTTTTATTATAAATGCTGTATAAATAAGTACGCATACTTTTAATACTATAATTTCTCGTATATTGTCAAAAAATTACAATTTTTTCTTTGCAGTTATCATCTCTATTAATAATCAAACTCAAATGATAACATTAAAATCAATTTTTAATCAAAATCGAGTATTATTAAGTTTTAAACATATTCTACATGTCAACGAAACTAATAAATCATGAAATTAGTATACCGTATTATCAGTTTCTTACTCTTAATCACTTAAATTTTAACAGTCACGCGAACTTCCATAAGCGCCGACTGTCTTTAATAATATCTCGTCGGTGCATATAGCTAATAGCGTCTCCCCACGTCTCTCCGAATGCATCCATAAAGGATTAATACACGGCATGATCTGGCGAGATTATGGAATCGCAAATGTTGGCAAATTACCTGAGGCAAGCTTGACGCAATACTCGGGATTATCTACGATGTAGTCGAGACCAACGTGAGAATCCATATTGGCTGTATCTGTAGATGCTGCGCTTCCAATCTGTAACAATATAAAAAAGGAAGAGTTCTGTCGACTCTTTATTCCTCGTCTTTGTACAATGGATCAGAAGAACCGACCTGTTCTACCAAAATAAAATTATTGATACATATTACAAAAGTAACCTTTAGAGACCTTTCATCCTTGGGCGGTATTCATAGTCCGTTCTTATTTCAAGACTGTCTTTTAAGTAATGTCTTAAGATGCTAATACGGCCTTCTGATTGGTTTCTTAAGACTATACCTAAGATATATATATTCTTGAATATAAGATCTGACTATGAATACCGGCCTTTGGAAGTCTAATAACGACTATGTTCGGAATTTTTTTTTTTAAAACCTATAATATACATGACGATAGATTTTTATAGACTTTTGTTAGTTTATTTCCTATTTCCTATATCTTAGGCCCGATTGCACCAACATTACTTCGACTTTAAACGAAGCTTAAAACTATCTCTGTCTCGTTTTAAAGCGAAAGAGAGACAGAGACAGAAAGAGTTTTAAGCCTTGCTTAAAGTCAAAGTAACGTTGGTGCAACCGGGTCTTAGTGTTTTCACATGTATATACGGTCCAATAAGATTCTTATTAAGGAGTTTTTGCAATAACGTGGATCAGATACGGTGAACACTAAAGTCACATTATTCTTTTCTTAATTAGTTGTTAAGAAGACGATAACTTTACTTTAGCGTTCACCGCATCTGGGTAAACGATATTGCAAAAATTTTTTATTGTTTATATTGCATCGCATGAAATAAAGACATTGGCTATACTTTTACACCGTGCGCTTAGTCCGCGACTTATACGATAGGTGTCTTTGTTTAACCTACAGGATAAACAAGGACACCTATTGTATAGGCCCGCGGCCTAAATGCACGATGCAAACATAGCCAACATATTGTTTCCATACGTACTGATTATTTCGAAGAATATTACTAAGGCCTCGGTGGTCTAAAGGCTTAAGAAGTTCGCACGGAATGCTAAAAATCCGGGTTCGACTCCCGGCCAAGGTACGTAATATTTTAGGGTGCAACTTCCCCTTTACACAGCCAGCCTCAATTGACTTCCGAGGGACTTTGATCTTTACCCTCAAGAAGATCAATGTCACTGACCCTTTCTGTCGCTCGTTATTCATTAAAAAGTTATGAACAAAACAATTTTTATGAATAGCACACAATTTTTAAACACAAAATATATATTTCAACAGTATTTTTTCTTGACAGGGGAAGGTGAGGATCCTCGCTTCGCGTGGAAAGTCGTGCGCCCCTTGAGAGGGGGGAAAGTGGGGTGGAACTTGCTTCACGTGAAAAGTCGTGCGCTCCTTGGCAGGGAAAGAGGTAGGGTGAATCTCGCTTCGCGTGGAAAGTCATTACGTAAACTAAGGAGAATATGGGGTAGTTTATGAGTGCCTTCCAACAAGCGACACAACATAGTGATCATCTCATTCTTGTTTAACATTGGCGAACAACAAGGATGTGATGATGCATGCCGTATTACACCGTGTCATATGTGCTCTTATTAGAAGGCACCCCTTAATATTACATTAACATCATGGTTGAATTAAAAGGTTACCTATTGCGCATAATGACGGAGCCGTCACGTGATCTAAGATCTCGACCAATCAGAAATTGAGCTCATTGCGGCGTGAACGAGTCATGTGAATGTCTGCAAATGAGCTCAAAACTTGATTGGCTGACAGATCTTCCCCCGCCCCCACTACTTTCAACCTACTGCGCACCCATGGGTAACCTTTCAATAATTCAACCATGTATAAGGGTGCCGTCCCATCAACGGAAATTTACAGCGAAACGGAACAGCGCGACCAATCACAACTCTACAGTCATTACTCTGCTTTCTTTTCTGCGATTGTGATTGGTCTCGCTGTGTTCCGTTCCGCTGTAAATTTCCGCTCATGAGACGGCACCCTAACATTATGACAGAAATAAGATGTTACTTTTTAAACTTTTTTTTGTTAATAACTTTTTAACGAATAACAAGCGACGCCTAAAAGGCTTCATCAGGGTCATGACCTTGTCAACATATGTCAAAGTCAAGGTCATCGGAGGAGCATGATCCCCTAAAGGGCCTAAAATAAATATTTACCAATGGCAGATGATTTTGTCACTTAGATTTTACTTAGCCGCTCTACTTGCCCATGAACATCGTCAGGAGAATTACTAGACGTCCTGTATATATACAAACTTTATTACTATATACTCGTATTATTTCAAAAATTAGAATATATATGTACATAATTATAAATGTATACTTTTTTTTACATTTAAAGTTTTCTTTCTACAACAAAGTAAGTGTAAGTCGAGAAAGAGAAATTGTTGCCGAGGGAGGGGCAAATGCCCTTTTTTGTCTCCCCCTTCTGGACGTCCATGCACACAGATATAGATGAGACGAGACGAGACGTGCGCGATATCTCGATTGGTTGAAGGCTCGAAGGCATTAGACTGTTGTAATTCCGAATATAAACGCAGTCAGGTAAAGGTCCATGCGATGATTCACGCGAATGCAACGCGTGCTGCCGCGTTTGTTGCATAAGTTATAAGCAGGCTCACGTACGCACGCGCGGTAGTTTCCTGCGAGGCATATCGTTCCTCAACCGATGGTTACGCGGCCTTGATGTGCGCTGCTTGTTCGAGCGCACATATTTATGGCTACTGCCCATCTTAGGAAGATCAAGCAACGGACGATCTTGTAAAAAACTAGGTGTGCCGAACGTGCAACAAACAGTCTAATTTCTTTCTTGCTCAGGCGACGTTATCCGACAAATCCGCTGGAGATCGTACGATCTCGCTAATTGAACTGTTCGCCCTCTCGCAAACGAGAATAGAATCCCAACGAGGAATACAAAGTATTCGCGTCCGTCTCCTTTCAGAATGGTAAGATTCACTGCACAAAACAAAAATTAATAATCTTGGGATACACTGCTCCTTTTGTTGCAATATACAGCCAATATATTGATGAAAGTCGGTATCTTTATTTGAAATTTTTGACAAGAGCGAAGGAGCTTATATAATGTTTCTCATTTAAATTATCAATGAAATTTTGTTTTAAAAAATTAAGAAAAATTCATTGTTTCTCAGTTAACAAAATATACAATATAGCATGGAGAAATGCAATTTCTATTTATTAATATTAAAAAAGGTAGAATACGCTTGACACTGGCTTTACAACTGAAGAAAGAATTTTAGCTCATTTTGGAACAAAGTGTCTGCCATTTTTTATTAAATATGATGATGAATATAATTGTATTTGTGCAACAGTGAAAATTTGAGAAATGTGTTTTGCAACTCTAGACCTATTTTTTCTCTCTAGATATAAGATTTATAATTATTTCAACATTTTTAAAACAATCCTAATCAAGGAGCTAAGGAATCCAAGATCCAATATCTAATTTATTTATAATTTTGAATAAAGCTGCTTTTACATATGAATATCCCCAACATTCTGTTTAGACCTGTCTAGGACTTTCCGTTAATCACTACGAATACTGAAGATCTATATTACATTACATATACTATAAAGTTTCAGTACTCGTAGTTTACAACGGAACGCAGTCTACTCTTTAAAAAATTGTTTAACTATTTAAAATAAATCTCAACTTTATAAAGAGAGTGAAATCTCTTATATTAAAGATTGAAAATTGAGCCATTCTTTTTCAAGGCTAGTTCAATTTTCATTCTTTAGATTAAGATTCCGCTTTAAAGAATTTAAAGAGTATATAAATCGCAACACGCAAAGACAAAGTCGCAACTTAGCGATGGGCTTTATTTCGTTATGTATTACTGAGTAATTGTTATTGAGAAATAACTTCAATAACCATTATCAAATTTGGAAAATAACGGTTAACAGACTAAATGTTATTTTTATCAAGTCTTAAATAAGGATAGAAATTTTTAAAGCTACCACTCGGGGATCGTTTTATTTCTATGTCTTCGCATGTACTTTTCTTCGTAGAAATCGAAAATAATTATTATGATAATGCCAGACTTAAGGAAAAATTGAGATATATCGAAATAAAATGAATAAAATCTTTACTCATATCGTTATAAAATCACTGTCAGTTATGTTTCAATAATTTATTTATGAAATTAATTCCAAATTGGATCAAATACGAATAATATTGCACCACAAAACGTTAATTAGATTACATTTTTCATTATAATGTTTGTCATTTCGGTACCGTGCAATGTGCAATGCGCAACGCTTAGAGTGGGAGAAACGGTAAAAAGATGACAAATGTTTATAGTGAAAAATATTATCTAAAGAACACGTTTTGTGATGCAATAGTATTCGCATCTGATCCAATTTGGAATTAATTTCATAAATAAATTATTGAAATATAACTAACAGTGATTTAATAACGATGCGAATAAGAATTTTATTCATTTTATTTCGATGTTTTCAATTTTTCCTTAAGTCTGGCAGTATTATAATGATTATTTTCGGTTTCTACGCGAAGAAAAATACATAAGAAAACATATAAATAAAACGATCCCCAACCGGTGTAGCACAGGAAAATTAATTTTTTTCGCGTTTTGGAGGTAAAGTTGTCATGAAAGATTTGTTCGTGGGAAGTTGTTCGAAATGACGTATTATGCAACATACTAAAAGTCCTGAAAGTTTTATTTAAATCCCCCGTCAGCGGACTTGAGAAACTTTCCAGCTTCAAAAACTGATAAAAAGTGCTGTTTTTCAAAAATATCTCAGAAAGTATTTGTTTTATTGAAATAAAGATCATTATTAAAAAGAAAGCTGATAAAATTACGAATGACAGACCAAGTCTGCTGGCAGTCAGGAGTATTTTAGTATGTTATATATATATATATATATACTTTCGAATAACTTTCCACAAATAAATCTTTTATAGCAATTTTGCTTCTAAAAAACTAATTTTCTTGGGCTAATAGTGAAACCTTCGGAATTTTTTATCCTCCTTTTATAAGTAAGTAAAAGATAAATAGTAAGTTTAAGATTTTACTATATGTACCT